AGGTGAAGTAATTGATGGCTATGTATATCGATTCGTTTCCACAATATTACGTCCAAAACAAGGAAACTGAAGTGATAAGTGTGGAATTTTAAGACTTCGGTCAGCATCAATGGGAGCATTGTTTTAACTACAGGTGGCGGCACAGTTGAGGATGTCAAAGTAGCCAGCCAGCTAGGATCTGTAATAAAGCAAGGCAGACCTTCATTTATCGGAAGCCAGTGTGGAAATCTGATTCACTCAGCATAAATGAAGGGATTCGAATCTTTAACTCTGATGTCAAGTTAGTACTTTTATATGGTTTAGAGACTTAGTGCGTCACACTAAGCATTTCCGGCAGGCTACTGCAGACTTTCATCAACTCTTACCTTCTCTGACTTGATAATAAATATTAGATGTCAGGCCAGGAAGGGTAGGCATCAAGGAACTCTGCAGTCCAGTTAACTAATGAAGAAGGTTTGGCCCAACAAATAAATAGTAAGTCTCAACCTATTTGTGTTCGGCTTCGGAAGGGACAGGATCATATATAGTAGTTGAGGATTTTAGAAACCAAATCAATTGACCAGGCTGTGCTGTAAGTCACAAATTGTGTGATGGCTTGTACTGCTACCCGTTTACTCATGATGAAGTATCTGGAGTGAGATTCGGACCCCGTGACCTATCGGTTAGGAAGGCCGAGTGCTTAAGCTAATGGAGCATATCTCTGATACTCCTTATGACCTTTTGCGTACTCATAATGTTCTGTTATTTCTCATTGGTTTAAAACTATGTGCAGCTATCCGTTGTTAGATATTGAATTTTGTTTTGAGTGTTTTTGCATATGTTGGTGAGACTACCTGCGATAATCTTAGTTTAGTGGATTTATGCAATGATCAGGTGATTGAAATTATGTGTGTGTAGGGAGATGATGCTACCCATGTTGCCAAGCCTGAAGCATTCTGTCGTGGCGATGTGGCTCATTTGCTTTGTAACGACAGAAGACAAGGGCCAGGCAACAGATCGTTTATTCAGAAAATCAACAGATATTTATAGATTTTTATGTACATTATTATTCGTTATTGTTAGCAGAGAGGTAACCTCTTCTGATTGGTTGTTTTCCTGCTGAAGGTTATTCTGTCATCTGTTTGTTGCCGTTTCTTAGACAGTCTGGTGATATATCTGCGAATCGTATCCGCCCACGCTAAGTCTTCTGTGATTGGTTGTTAAGTTCTTGAAGGTTAGGCTTTGTTATTGTTTTATCTCGTGACCCCGATTTGGGACGTAAACATTGACGTGAATTGGTGTCTACAATTTTAGCTAACAGACAGCTCTCACTACAGCTTCAGCATTCGACTTTCAGTCAAAAGGTCCTGGGTTCGAATCCTGCTATAATAACTGGACAGTACTACCAGCTGTCACACAATAAGTGTGGCTCATAGCCTCGAATATGAAAAACTTGTTCCGGGAACAGAGTTTCGACGTATTCGAATTCTGGACCCAACAGCTGAAAGTCAATTGCTAAAGCTAGTTCTCTACATCCCCTACAATGTTGGACTAGTCGCCTCCTAAAGCGAAGGTAATGTACAACGTGTAGATAAGACGAGACTAAATATTGATTATCCATGGAAGGATGATAAACAAACACAAACTAACAGATCACTACTCATCGTTCAATTAACTAACACTGTCATTTCTACTCACAGTATTAAGACTTAGATGGGTCATTGGCTTAAGGCGTTTTGAGACTTCCACCAAATGGGTCCAGGCGTCGGAGCTAGTTTCATCTGCCTCATTCAGGTTGAAAAACTGGGTAGTATCTTCAACACTCACCTATTGTGTGTCTTATGGCTTGACATATGACAGATGTGGTTGGAGTAACAGTTTTGATAAATACGTTTCATAGTTTTGGTATAGTGGTGTTCTCTGAGCTGGATCGTTTAATTGCAAAGCTTTCATTGTCTTACTAGACTACATTTTCAGCGCATACTTCAGTTTGGAATGAGCTTTTAAAGTTCCCCACGAGTTTATTAGTCATATCTCCTGGTAATCTTGAACGTGACTGATTGTCTTTGTGTATTTACTCACCTTCTGTTCCATTTGTATTAAAATTGATTGTTTCCTTGACCTGAAGTTCGACCTTATGTTCATGTGATTTCCTTCTTATGGTTTGGCAAATTTTATCCATGTCAATGTGCCTGTTAGTTACCGATTCACTGGAATACCAGGCTTCTAAAAATTCTCTGGCGTTCTTGGTGTTTCCTCTGTCTAATATTTGAACATTGTCTCAATCGAATCAGTGTCCGTGGTTGTCTGTAAGCAATGCTATGAAGTGGTGGATATCGTGTCTATTGACGGGCAGTTTATGTTCATGGATGCGAAGACGAAGACTTTGACTAGTGTAATGTTTTTCACAGTCGTTGCAGTTTGTCTTGTAGTTGTTGGTTTTGTCTTCTTTCGCTATCGAGTCTTTTGGTTGACATAATGCCGAGTGAAGTGATTTTGTTGGTTTGCGGGTCTTGCAGGGATTTCTGGGATGTTCTTTATGTATGATAAAACAATTTTCTTTGTGTTTTCATTGGGGACCTTTGATTTGGTTAGTTATGTGGAGGGTAGATGTCTTTCGATGAAGTTTTGTGGATATCCATTTTTTGGAAGATTTTCATAATATATTTTTCTTCAATTTTCCTCAAGGCGCGAGTGCTGCAATGAATGTTCGCTCTCTTCAGTAATGTTTGTATGCAACTATCCTTGTGTTTTATTGGGTTATTGCTGTTGTGACTGAGTATTTGATTTGTCGGTTGTTGAGTTTCTAATTTTCCTTTAGTTGCTCACTTTACTAAGACGTCTAAAAATAGAATTTTGTCCTCGGATTCCTCTTCTCTTTGGAATTTGATATCGTTGAAGATGTTGTTTATTAGCCTGTGAGTTTTGTCGAAGTCGTTTCTTCTGATTATCACGAATGTGTTATCCACGTTACGTATCCAAATTTTGGGTTTGATCTTTGTTAGGATTATGTTTTCTAGTCTTTGCATCACAGCTTCTGCAATCAGTCGTGATATGGGCTATACCATAGGTATCCCTCTAATTTGTTCATATATCTGGCCGTTTAACTGGAAATACGTTGTTAGACATAAGTTTATGCATTCCATACAACTTGACTGTTGTGGGAGGTGTTGGTCGTTGCTGAGTATTTGTTCTGTTTTCTTTGCCTGTCTATTGTTTTAATTTTTTTTAAATATTTTTTTCCTTCACGTTCCTCAGTGGAACATAGGACTTCAAGCTAGTGGCTTGAAGTTTCTGTAGCAGTGTTTATTTTACAGGATGGGGTTGCTAGCCCCATGCCCAACCTCTCCTCTTTACCAGCATTATTTCTGGCTCAGCGAGGTACAGGAGTGCGTCGACCGGGGATCGAACCTCGGACCATGTGCATGGTCGGCGAGCGTCCTAACCGCTATGCCACCGACGCACTTTGCCTGTCTAATCGAAGTATAAAAATGCTGTGACATCGAAGGATACCATTATTTCTTGATCGTTTATTTGAATGCCCTTGATTTCCCTCAAAAAGTAGGTTGCAGATTTGTTGGAGTGATCTTAAGATTCTATGAAAATGTTTCAGTTTTCCGCATAGTTCTTTGGATACATGGTATGTTGGGGTTGGTCGTAGGGGGATGTTTAGTTTGTGCATTTTGAGTCTGCTGTAAAATCAGAGTGGAACGGGTCTATTGGATTTTATTCGCCATTGATCTTCTTTTATGATCTCATCTGTGATCCACTTCATCCTATTCTCTGCAGTGTTTTTTTAACTGACTCCACGATTACGGTAAGCTTTCATCTTCTCTTCACGCAAACTCCTCTATCTCACCGTTGGAGGTTTAACTCGTCGTTCACCATTCAGACTCCACTCTAGAGCCTGGCATATGATTTCACTCAACAGTCCCCTTAGTGTATATCCAATCTATCTCCATTTTCTTCTGCATACTTATTTGGTGATAGGTTGTTGTTTGGTTGGTTGGTTGTTGGTTGAACTGCAGATTTCCTTGTTGTTAATCTTTTTTCGCCCCGACCATCTGATCTTCAGTATGGAGCCAGTGAAGACAGCTGTTGATAAAAGTCCATAATAGTTTGTTGGAAAATGCTTTTTGAAACTCGCCGAAAGCGAAGATTGGGCGTGGGGTAGCGACTCTACACCGGAAAATCAATCCAATCATTACAGAATCTTTAAATCACAGAAAAAAGAATATGTATCTATCCCCAATGACGAATGCTCATTATTATTATTATTATTATTGTTCCCTTGGGTTCCTAGTGGAACATAGGGCTTCAACTGCACGTCTCCACTTGCTTCTGTCTTCTACTGTACTTTTCACTTGCATCCATGTTAGTCCATGCTGTTTCAACTCCTCTCCACACGATCTCCTCCATGTCACCCTTGGACGTTCCACTCACCGCTTCCCTTTCGGGTTCCACTCGAGGGCCTGACGCGCGATGTCACCCAGCGGCCTCCTCCTCAGCGAGTGTCCAATCCATCTCCACTTTCTCCTGCATATTTGTTGAGCGATTGGTTCTTGTTTTGTTTGTTCCCATAGTTTCTTGTTGGTGATTCTTTCCGGCGGCCATCTGATCTTCAGTATAGAGCGAGGAAGACAGTTGTTGATAAAGGTCTGCAACAGCTGTTAGAAATATTCTTTGTGACCCACCGCCAAGTTTCTGATCCGTATAAAAGAACAGACTCACTTGACGTTTGTATTGAAAATCCGAATTTTGTTGTTGATGCTGAGTGACGAAGATTTCCAGATTGGTTTCAGGTTGATGAATGTGTTTCTCGCCTTTTCGATTTGACATCCTCGTCCGTTCCTCCTGTAGTTGAGACAATGCTCCCTACATAAGTGAATGAAGTAACCTCTTTCAAATCCCTCATCATCATATCTACATAAAATCCTGTAGTATAATGAATCCATATAATTTTATGTTCTTCTAATGATTATAATATTCTAAACAACTTTCTATTTTTCTTCTACATTAAGGCCATTATATTTATTGGGAGATTACCATATTATACTACTGAAATTTGTCTACAAAAAGCACTGAATAAATTACTGACTATGCATAGAAAAGAGAAGCAATCATTTCGACGACGTAATCGTAGTCGTTCACCATTTGCTTCAGATAAACATGATGATAGTGATGAAGAAGGCGACGCTGATGATATATGGCCAAAGGTGAATATTGTTCATAATGTAGTCACTGGTTATCCATGTGGTTATGCATTTGCTCATTTCGCTTCAGAAGTTGATGCCGATAGGGTGTTGCGTAATTGGTATAGTCAAACTGCTACTGATACAAATACCACTTCCACTACTACTTCAAATACATCGCATCGAAGAATAAGAAATGATAAACATTGTGGTTTAGATATACCTAACGGTGAAAAGGTTAGTTTGATTATAATTTGTTTGTTGTTGTGGTTTTGTCCTTCTTTTGAGACTTTTACTTGGATCTTTGAAAGTAGTTGAAACTATAAAATCATCTTCAGTCATGCACTGTACTGTCTTTCTCTACGGTTATTCGATGTAGCCGTCGACTGAAGTTGTGAATGGGCTAACTGTCTTTAACCAAAGCGGTCGACATTCTCTGTCTTGTGTAAGACGGTGTAATGTGGTAGGCTAATAGTAAGATTAATCATAGAGGGAAAGTTAATCGATGTGACTATGAAGTTGCATAGACTGAGAGATGGCTTGGAGATGTGTTACGCATACCCCAAGCAGTCTCATTCTTCGACGATGAATGTTTGCTAGTTTAGGATTAGTTCGGAAAAGAGCTAGGTGTGGTAATATCAAAACACGCCATCAATCCACGAAGTAATTAGCTGTTCATTTTAGACATATAAGAAGGTGCAGACTGTCTAGAGTCGTCGAAGCGATAAGAACTAATGAATAGCTAAAGACCGTCGGTGAAATGGTTCAAAATCGCTTCTAATGCCATGTTTAAGTTGCATTAAATCCTCATTATTCTTTATATAATTACCCTTTCTACAGAATATTTCTTTTTATTCCTACCTTTCTGTGCTTTTTTAAAGTATGAGAACTTGAATTGTTACACTTATTTGTTCTACTTTAGAAATTTGTTTGACTAACTTTGTATTGCTATAACTGATGAGAATGGAGAAGATTTGTAGCTCAGGTGGATGATTTGCAATTAATAGTGTTCTCTGAGCTGGTTGGTTTAGTTGCGAAGCTTTAGTCGTCCTCATGGACATCGGCCAAAGTGGGCGTCCCCTTCGAATCAGAATCCAAGAACACAAATCAGCCGTGAAAAGACACGATATGTATTCTTTAGTATCAATGCATATAGACAATTATGGTCATCAGTTTGATTGGGATAATGTCGAAATCTTAGACAGAGGAAACACCAAAAGTACCAGAAGCCTGGTACTTAAACGAAAATGCAATAATATAGACGAAATATACCAACTAATAAAAAGTAAATCAGGTGACCAGAAAGTTTAAAATCCAAGTCAATAGAAAATGGTCAATACATATGTAAAGATGGTTACCAGGAGACGCAATTATATCACGCATGAAGAAATTTAAATCATTTCACTTCGTGCTAAATATGGCGCTGAAGATGTTGTCCAGAAGGACGGCGAGAGCTTCGCATCTAAACCAACCGGCTCAGAGAACACTATTGATTGCAACTGATGAGAAATTTTTAAAGTCAGTCTGTGTTATTGAAAATCTTTCGTTTGGAAAACCATTTCACTGCTTATTAGCGGCTAGCTTCTAGTTTGATTAAGAATCGACTTCAGTTGGAGAACCATATTGGAAAACCAGTTGTTTCGTCCTGGTTTGGGACTCTTCAATAGTAGACAGTAATGGCTGTACTGAGGATCGAATTTAGGACCTTCAGGTTACAAGGTGATTACGTTGACCATTTGGCCAATGAAGCAGAATCCAACGGTCCATGAATTCAACGGCCAGTCAGTATCATCGAGGCGTATGCCTGAGACTTGATAGACCCCGTTGGTCACGATTTCTCCCTTGAACTTCAGTCAACTTCATCCTGTACTCAGTCACTAGTTTTTCTTTTGCTGATCAACCAATCAGAAGTGATATGTGAACACGGTAGTTGATCTGTGTCTATATTAATAGATTTTGGGGATCATGAACTGTGAGATTCTGGTCCACTGCCTGAAGAGTACATGCTGCTGACTAACACTTTTGAATTGAATCATGTATGCAGTCGTCTAATCATGTTACTAAGATGTCCTATCAACTGGGGGAAAAACACTTATTGCTACAGGAAACGGCCTTTCTACCGACTGTTAACTTAATTGAAAGTTTGAATAGAGAAAGAAAGAACATATTTGCAGGATAATACGAGCTCGTCTTATTTCGTGGGCTCTCTTCAACTGTGTACATCCTAAATAAATCAATTATATGTCACAAAATTTCTGAACATAGTTTTTAAAATGATAGAAAATATAAACAACATAATTTCAAAGATGATGTAAGTAGACATTTATCTAGTGTGTTAAAAGAGTAACTATTTATATAGTAAGTAAACAAAGGGGGTGGACTTCTGATTTTTCTTGGAAACAGGGATGGACTAGAGACAACAGAGGTGGTTTACACATATTATGGTAGGAAGTTCATGAGGGTGTGGGTGAATAGTGAAGTAAAGCTTTAAAAATAGATAAAGTCACTTAATTTAGTAGATTTGAAACCTTAATAATGAGTGAGTTCAACTCAGTGAGTGAAAATCAAAGTGAAGATTGAGTGGAATGTTACTCAACAGGACAAAACACGAAAGCACTCGAGAAAAACAAAAAAATTAGTCACACTATCTTTCAGTATGCATAGGTTGGGTTGAAGTCTTTTGATGGCAATGACTTCTGCGTATCTAAGAACCAAGCTTTTCTTTGTATGTTGATTATTTTGAAAGCCTGACTAATTTCCACTGTATGTTCCGTGTCATTTAGATGTCTGGTGATTGCGCGTGAGAACACACTTTACTGGAGACTTTTAGGGATTTGTTCGGATTAAAAGTGCATTTCTATGGCAATTTGCATAGTTTGCCGACCATATTGCAAAATTCACTAAGAAAATTCATTTAGTACTAAGGTCTACGCATGTAGAATTAGTTATGCCCTAGTGTTCAATCAGTGTAAAAACGGCTATCCAATGCTTATATATTCTCTAGCTGTAATAAAATCTACTTTGTACTCAATCATCTTAAATTATATTATAACAATAGTATCACATTCCCCCTGGTGTTTGAGTGGGCCGCATATGTGACTGACGACCATCCTGCCATTAGACTATCGACTCGCTGACTGTTCACTACTGTCACTGTAATCTCATGTATATTTAAAAGTAAAGTGATGTCCATGAACTTTTATATTTAATAATAACTATCTGCATATATTATGATTCGATGGTTCACTGGTAAGGTAGGATGATCGCCAACCACGCACGTGGTCCGGCTTCGAATCTCCTAAACCTCGTTCTACCACCTCATCCGAACTGATTGACGCAAGAAGACTGATTCCGGCAAGCTCCAATTATGATGAGGAGCGAAAGTTACTCAAACGCAAACTAACAAGAAGCCTTCGTAACGACCGTGAACAGTGGGTGGGCGACAAAAGCGAAAGAGATAGAAAAGGCATCGGCGATTGGTAACACCAGACAACTATTTAGACTCATCAGGGAGACAGGTGGTTAAAGGCAAATGATAAGTGAAACAATCTCGGAGAAAAATGGCACCATAATTAGCCCCCAAGATAGACGACTGGAACGCTTGTAAGAACACTTTGAGGAGCAGTTTAAATGGCCTGCAGCCACACTCAACTCACCGAACATCCAACACCTGCCTGAATGAGATATAGACACAGGTCCTCCGTCCCTAACTGAGGTTACTAAGGCTGTCACTAGTCTGAAACGAGGCAAAGCAGCAGGACCCGATGGAATGACTCCAGAGGTATTTAAATACGGTGGAGACAGTTTACTGTCTGTGTTAACTAAGGTACTAGGGAGCGTCTGCGAATCAGAGGAAGTCCCGTCGGGTTGGTGTAAGTCATTGATTATCCCGATATACAAGAAGGGAGACAAGTCTTCCTGTGATAATCACAGGGGGATTAGCTTGACTAATATGGTATCTAAAGTTCTAGGCTCAATAATAATGCGTAGACTAAGTGGTGCTCGGGAGGCACAAACACGAGAGAACCAGGCAGGCTTTAGACCATGAAGAGGGTTTATTGATCATATCTTCACCCTTCGACAGATTCTGGAACATAGGCATACTTACCGTTGGCGTCCAACAGTCTTCATATTTCTTGACCTAAAGGCGTCATTCGATTCTGTCGACCGAGAGGTACTATGGAGATGCTTGGCTGTAAAGGGAATGCCGAGAAAATACATTGCACTGATCAAGGCACTCTACTCGAACTCATGCAGCCAGGTGAGAGCTCATGGCGAGTTGTCATCACCAGTGGGGTCCGACAAAGATGCCCCACTTCTGTTTAATTTCATCATAGATATACTAATGGATTTAACCCTAACTCACTTCAGAGACTCTGGAATTGACTTGCTACCAGGGAATAATCTCGTTGACTTAGAATATGCAGACGATATAGTCCTTTTAGACGAGGACGCTGACAAAATGCCGACTTCTGAACACCTTCAGCTGCAATCTTCGGATGTTTGGCATCCGATTCCTCCGTTCCTGTCAAATGTAAGATGATGCTACAGAACTTGACTGGACTACATTGACTCTTTTCTAGCTTAGAAATAGGGAGTGAAGTAGTAGAGCGTGTTGACCACTTTACTTATTTAGGAAGTTTCATCATCCAGTGCCGACGGGTTGATCGCTAACGAAATCCCTGCACAGATACAGAAGACTGGTTTTGCATATGCCAGTTTACACCGTCTCCGGCGTAGACGTGATATCCGGCTGGCCATCAACCAAAGGACGTGTGTACTGCTCAGCTGTCCGCTCCGTCCTCCTTTACGGCTTTGAAACCTGGCCATGGCATCAGTCAATGAAATCTCTGGCTGTGTGTGCTGAGTGAAGTGTGGCGACTCGAACTGCTGCACATCGGTTCAAAGTTCTATGTTGAAACTAGTCAGTCAGTCCTAAACCTCGTTTAGTCGTCAGTAAACCCAGAAAAGAGCAAAGGTTGTGTATAAGGTTAGCAGCCTCACCACGTCTAATGAAACTTCAAAGCCTGGAACCTTATGTTCCACTAGGAACTCAAAGAAATGAAAAGATCTGCGTATAACACAAATATATAGAATCAATTTAAAAAAAAGCACAATATATATATATATATAAAGTTGTGTGAAGACACTTTTTGACATGAAAATCGATTAGTTGTATAGTTATTTGTTTATTCATCAGAAGTTTCAATGTACATAGTTCAGTGTTTGTTTGCTCT